AAATCAAACTCGAAAAATAGAGAGAGGAAGGAGTAAAAACACAACGCGTATAACTACAGTCACGTGACTTTACTTTTTAGTCATGTGTCTTTAAAAACGTGACTAAAGTAAAGTCACGTGACAGGAACGTGAGAGGAAAACAACACGTTTGCATATAAGAGGCACGTGCCTTTTGATCATTACTTTTTTTATACAACTAACGGTCTTCAAAAACAATCAACAAAAAAGTAACACCACGAATACCGTTAATTTGATACAATTAATGTAATATTTCTAATGTAGATAAGTGTAATATTTCTAATGTAGCAGTTTACTGTGTAATGCTTAATTCACTCATCAGAGTAACCTGAGTTAGTGTTATTATACCTTTCTTCTATACAGTTTGAGTTCAACCTATATTCAGACAGATATAATAGGTCTGTTCTTTGTAGCTGAACTTATTGCACCATTAATCGTCCCTCTTTTTTTCTTCGAAGTAAAAAGGAAAGAAAAGATGAACTTAGTGGTGTTACTTTTTTGAATTTTTTTTCGAAAATCGTTAGGCGTACGAAAAAAAGTAACACATGGTAAAAAAAATATACCTTCCAACCTAGATCTACAACTTTTGTTTAACATGTTTTTCGATATAATCAATAAGTTGGAAGATAATCAAATAAAATCGATTGATTGTGCATTTGAATAAGTTTTTCAATGTTTATGTATATAAGGGTCTAGGGGCTCTTTTTCTTCTTATTCGATCGGACTGAATTTTTTAACGGAGTAGTTTTTTAGCAATTGAAATTGTTCTAGAGAGTGTCACGAAAACAATTCGGAACAAAAATATTTTTACCAGAAGTAAATAAGAGCCATCCTATATAATATATACGTGTATATATAATATATATGGGTGCATATATATGTACATATATAGACGATGAAAAATTTACATATAAAAATAAAATCGCAGCGTTTTTATTCTCTTTTTTTTTTTTATTATCTGTGGTTTGTTTCGTATATAAAGAAGAGACAGAAGAACGGAAGCCAAATGTTGCGCTATCGTTTGGGAAAAAAAACGTGATACAAAATAATATTGCAAATAATACTGCGCGCACACATAACACACACACACATATACATATCAACTGAAGGGAAACGCAAGAGAACTGTACAAACGTGCTATACAAACACTGCAGCAATGTAATCTCCCAAACAATTATTTACTTCACCGCTCGGACTGCGCGATACATCCCCTTATCGCCCTTTTATCCTTCCATAAATGACGCGTCTATCGGGCGCGGATCGCTTCGCCGGTGACGTACTGGCGAGTGATGCGGGATCAGTATGACGGGACGTCGGATATACACGCACGTGTATCGCGCATACACTGGAGTGCGCTGTTATACAGGACACGTGACATTCCGGGAGCAGTCATTGATCGCCGCATTCGAGCGCAATCAATTTCTATCGGCAATGGCGCGAATGGAAGATCATTATCGGCCGTAGAAATGCCAGTGCGCGTGTCCGAGAACGGACGGTCGGGCCCAATAGCGACTCTCGCTCCTGACGATATGGCGCGTAACATATAGGGTCCCATACATACGCGTCACTGCGATCGTTTGCTTTCTGTCCCTCTCGCTCGGCATTTGTGTTTCCCTCTCGCCGCCAGCGATGGTAATGCATTCGGCGGTTGCATACCCGTCCCGTCGCTAACTTATCCACGATACCGTCGGCTGCGTATGTCCGTCAGGTTAATGTCCCTGATCAGTACGAACGTATGGACATCGGGTCTCGAGTGACGCTTACGAAAAATAGTCCGCGTTCCTGAAATACAGTCGCTTCGCTGACCAACGGCGTGATTTATCGAGCGGTTGTGTTTTACGCCAACCGGGAAGATTAGTATTGAAGGAAGTGCACACGAGAACGATTATAGTAGGATCACGCTGTCTGTTCGCGAGACACGCGCAATCAGTTTAAAAAAAAGTGACGCGACGAATATCTGTGACGTATTAAACTGACGCAATCTGTAAGGCAAATAAAAATCGCACAATAATCAAAAAAATAAATACATCGCATTTCGAATTTTGCGCGAGTCGCGCGTTGATCTTTGAATGACGAGGAACAGAAGCTACAAATGATCGCTTTTTTGCTAACACATGACAAAGAGTAACAAGCCGTCTGGTAGCGATACAGAAACGATAGCGCTATCGGGACGACCCGCAATTTTCTTCAGGGGCAGAGAAAACTCCGTTCCTTGGCCAAGCGTTATTTCGCAAAGGGAGCGTCGATTTACTATCTGCTTCGCTTGTTAGTCTTTTTTGCGGCCCCAACACGGTGGAGTGGTGATTCAATTGCGGGCGAAGTCGCGGTCGGGCCACGTACGCGGTCCGACCTCGATTTATTTCTACCTTCTACCCCCGAACGGTGAGACAACGGTGATCGATCAAAGATAGGAGATCGATAGTTCGGTTACGGGCGAGGCAGACGGTTCGATTCGCCCTTCGGCGAAATTTAGGAATATACCGCCAATGTAGCCTGAGGGTATCCTTCGCGGTCACGAAGAGCTAAGAGATGTCGAAGGTGCTTCTGAGATCTCTCGAACCTAAGCCTGAGGAGCGCTCGCTCTCTCTGTATCGAGGTACATAAGATGCATCTTATGTACAACACGCTTCATGAATATGTTTGCGCTGATAAAATGAAGGAAACCGAGTCGGTTCCTCGGCTTTGATCCAAAGTTTACCAATCCCCATGGAGTTCACGAAGCTCAAATAAATTGTGTTATTTTTACTGAACAATTGAAAAAAGTAACTGCATACAAATAACTCGCATCGCCTTTTCTTCCTTTTTTTTTTTTTTTTTTGTTTTTTAAACCGCGCGAGAAGTATTCTCGCGATAATCGACGAAAAGTGAAGATCAACAGTCGAATTCCTGGCGCGTTTGCCAGTTCGGCCGGACAATGTGAACTGTCGAAATAACTGATCGTTTCTCTTAATAGGCGCTATCGTTCGCGCGGAGTCGTGAATTCTTGAGATACTTGCAGCACGTTGTAAAACGAACGAACGAACTTCGCGTGTCTCTTCGAGAGAAGTGCTTGCGCAGAGCGTTCGCCCAGTCGTTTGGAGATGTAATCCCCCGGAGAGACAAGTAAAGGCTTCTTCGTTTTCTTCGAAGGTGGATTTCAGCTGTGTGTGTCCACTCTCGAATACTCGTGAAACCGGTTAAGTTATGTACGTGATCGTTGCGCGAATAAAAATTGCGAAATCTTCACTTCGGCGTGACATTGTTAGCGACATTCGCAAAAAAGATCCTCTTCTCAGCCGCTAACGACGAACTCTCTTCTCGTGTTCTCGTTAACGTCGAATCTTAACGACGCTCGTGCTCTCCATCTTCGAAACCGAGAAAAAACTTTCACGTGTGAGCGAGTCACAATTTTGTCGAGTGGCGATGATGCTCCGTCAAAGTTCGTGCGAGCGGGGTATGTCGAAGAAACTTATTGCCGCTCCGAAATCGTCATGTCGTTAATATCAGCTTCAAAGTATCTACACGTCATCGAAATAATTCACGTTCTTGATATTCAAAAATATCGGGGAGATCTCTCTTAAAACTTTGCTGCCGGAAAAAGAAGAAGCGGCGTATCGCGGTAAACATCCTCCCGAATGGGGATCATACGAGCGACTTCGTTTAACGACATCTTGCGCTTACAAATTGCGAGCTTTCCCGTGTAAAGTCTTCGGAACGGCACGCGCATCGCAAAATGTTATTACGCGAAATAACGCGCAGTGATAACGGGGAAGGGGGACTACTGCCGGGAGGAGGTCTATTCGCCGTTTAATCCGCTCATATTTCACTCCATCGAGTAGCTGGGGCAGTCGCGATTCCGGAGGGAGGTTGAAGGATAAATGCCAGTGAGATGTGAGCAACAAAAGCTCGTGAAACAGTAATAAGCCGTTGCATGCTTTTGGTATTCCTGGGGAGGAAATGAAGATCTCCCTGTGCCGCCGCAGACCGCCCCCGCTCGCAAGTCGGTCAGCAGCAAACGGCGGAGGAAGTCTCGAAACTGGTTTGTCAGATAATTGAGATCTACCAATGGGAATCCGAGAAACTTGGAGAATCTCGGCCGACTGTAACGATCCTGTGTACCGCGGACGCAGAGATTTGTCGTAGTGGTATTTCCAGCAACAAGATTTAACGGCGGTAAAGAGAGGAAGAGAAGAAGTAGAAGGAGAAGGAGAAGAAGAAGGAGGAGGAGGAGAAAGAGAAGGAGAAGAAGGATGGAAAAGAATAAACACGTTTTCCCGGGTGTTGCATTCTCTGGCGCGATCATTGATTCTTACGAGCACGAGACGGAGAAGTGTGGGCGAAAATTCCGGACGAACGGTATCGCCATCGCGGAAATTAAGCGATCTCTTAACGCCTCGCGGACATATCGATGTGCATATAGACGACTGTAACTGCGGTTCAGAGAATGGGGCACTTCAAAAGAATCCGTGTATCTCGTGCTTCAATGATTTCTTCTCGATCGGCGTACAAAGCAAAATTCTCTCGCACGGAAACTCCCAGTCATCCGGAATTGATTCCGTTCGGCGCTTCCTGCGAGAGCGCCTGTTTTCCTGTGAAATAATGTGAATATAATGCCAAGCTATCGGCTATTCTCTTCCGCGCGGTTATTGCATTTCATTTCGGCCGTTCTTTTTGTCCTCTTTTGAACGATGGGTCGGGAGAAGAGAAGAGAAACGAAGACTATGCGGACACACGAAAGAATATACACGAACAAAAGACACAATCTCGGATCTTCAGTGGCAGTAAAAATTATGAGAGAATTCAGATATCGATTTAAGTTACGAGTTTTGAAAGGAAATATTAGAAAATCTTCGCAAAGAGCGCGGGAAGAGAGAAGAGAAGCATTTCTGTTTGCAATCAAATCAAGAAATGTTGGCGACGTATATTCATACATATGCGCGTGCGCGCACATAGTCAAAATATTTTTATTTAATCTTGCACATGTGATTGCTTTATATTTACAGAGCCCGTGACGGAAATAGCCGGCGGTCCCGAGCTGTTCATCAACAAAGACAGCACGATAAACCTAACGTGTTACGTTAGATACGCGCCCGAGCCGCCGTCGACAATAATTTGGAGCCACAACCACCAGGTAAAACGCATCTTACAACTATGCGTACGTCGCGTTTTTTTTTTTTTTTTTTTGTTGAAGGTCGATTGTGCCGCGCATTTGCATGAAATCATCGCATGAAACTCGTCTCATGCGAAAGACGTTGCCTTTCAGCTGAAATCCATCTGAATTTCATAACCGACGCTGTTGGATTGCAGACACACACATCGGTCCAAACAGAAACATTTTTCATGTTTCTCGCGGTCGTTAAAAAAAAAAAAAAACACCGCGGCCATGTACACGCGGGACTGGCGCGCATATCGATTACCGTTGATGGCAATGCTTTCCTTCGCGATATTTATGGAAGACACACCGACAGCGACTTGCTTTCCCAACATTCGACGCGATGATGTATCTCTACCACGCGAATTACAATACAAATATCCGCGTATTCCGTTTTATTCGCGAAGCGCTCGTGTGTTCGTAGCAGTCGCGTTCTTGTGCGATGTGACACGCATAATTTTGAATAACAGAGAAAAAAAAAAGCACCACAGATTCGCGAGACAAAATCATTTTCAGGCGCGTCGCGGTAGTTCGTCGGATATGTGTGCCTTACAACGTGTAATATGCGGACGAGTGTTCTCTGGCAACTTTACGTGCCACTTTATTTTAACAATCTCGTACTTATTTTTGCTCCAAACGGCGGCTGGAATAAGCAAGACGGTTGCGTAGACGCTCTTAGTTGTACTTTCGGGAAAACGTCTCGAAATGCTCACTGCCATTCAAAGAAAACACCTACAGTCGCCACTTTTGTCCCTTCCGCCATTTTCCACCAAGAGCAAGTGCCCCTAAATCTTGTTCAAGTCATGTCAGAGACAGGCAAAGCGACTTTGTCTCCAACTTCTTCTCGTCTGTCTGCGTTCGCGCGTGAGAAGATAATTAACTTGTCGAGTTAGCTAATTATTCGTACTTACATCGCGATTCTTCTTACAACTTCACCGCAGTTGCTCTTAACAATACACGTTAATGCAAGACAAAGAAAAAAAAGAAGAGCAATATTGTCTTAGCAATAATTTAAGTGCTGTTACATTTTTCTCTGAAACTTTTTTTTTAATTTAAACTCTATAAATGTTCACGTTTATTTTTCGAAACTTTTAACGGTGTACATTACGATGATCATTGTTGTTACCAAAAATATCATTAGTCTTTCCATCATCGCACTTGCATATGTAAATCTCTAGAGCGAACAATCGTGACCGCAATTCCGTCGGTAGTAATTAAACATGATTAATTCAGTGACGTAATGAATTCCGTCCTAATGAAGCTTATAAAACAATCACACTGATTTGCGCAGACAGTCAACTCATTAATTATCCATTATAGCGAAATTCACTAAGCATCTTCTGTGATTAATTCCAACGCAGATGGTTGAAAATATAACATTCTTGTTTCGCAAACAGAAGAAAAAAAAACTTTAATAAAAGTGAATAAAATTGGATGTAATAAGAACTTTTCTTAAGTTTCTAATCAATAGTTTCCGTAGCGTTGAAAGGATCATGAATTTCATAATTACAGTCGCGTGATACAACCGCGTGTTTTATACCGCGTGTACAGCGGCGAGGTCAGGAAATGAATATTCTCGTGTCTGGAAAAAAGTTCTGGAAAAGAGGACTTCTGTCACTGCAACGAACACGTTTCCGTCGACACTAGTTCCGACTCTCCTTCCTTTCCCGCAGATTGGCACCATCCGTACCTGGTCACGTCAGAGGCAAGTAACTCGACGTGCTTTTTATATTCCTTCTTTCGCAGGCGATTAACTTCGACCTGCCGAGAGGCGGCATCAGCTTGGTAACGGAAAAGGGACCGGTGACTTCGAGCCGTTTACTCATTCAGAAGGCGATCGAGAGAGACTCCGGCCTTTACACGTGCTCGCCCAATAACACTCATCCTAACAGCGTGCGGGTCCACATAGTTGATGGTAAAGGAAAAATGCCAATTTCGCTTTAGAACGAGCGCTACGTGCAAACATCTGAGCATTACTTGCAAACTCGATGGACATTCTTTAAATGTTAAGCAAAACTCATAAGATTTATCACTTTTGGCGCGGACGTATTTTAGAAATTTTTTTAACAATCAATCTTACTCACTTTTATCTTTCCACTTGTACGAAACAACATAAGATATATATAATGATCGTTTGACTACGATCGATTTATTTGTGAGTAAAAACGAAACACGATACAAACTGATTTCTTCAAATACACGAAGAGAGAAAGAGAAAGAGAGAGAGATACTTTCCGAAAATGCTTAACTTGTACCCGGTCGAGTGGGGCGACGACAGCTTTGCCCAAAGCAAAAGCTCGCGGAAACGTCGCTCTAAATACCACCTGCTAAGAGCCCGGCCGAGCGAAATGGCATTATAGCGTGGCGTTTGTTTCAGAAGAACACCCAGCGGCAATGCATCACTGCGGCGGCGACAGAACGGCCGCGACGCTGCTTCCGGTCGTCCTACTTCTTTGGATGATATTCTAGCCGACACTATGTACTCCGGGCTGAATGCGCGCAAACTTAAGCGCTGTCGTCCAACTTTCACGAAACCATCGGGCGAAGGGGGTTCTGTTTTCGCGGTTTTGTCTCTCTTCGAGGATTCGACTCGTTGCTGCGACGCGTCTATCTCTCGCGAAAGTAACAATATCTCTAGCGTCACGAGACTCAGGGTTGCGTCTTTCCGAGTGTTACACGTCGTTAGAACGTTAGGCTGATCGGGACGCATTCCCCGCCTTGTGACAAATCCAATTGTGACAAATCCCGTGCCGTCGCCTAGAAAACACGAGCAAAGACGAATATTGTTAAGCCGGGATTCCACGGCACGTGACTCGTTGAGTTTGGCGCAATTCACTGAGCTCAGCTCGCGGCTCGTGACTTGTGTTTCCTATTGGTAAGTAGATCGCGAGTAAAAGAACTTCCTCCTGGGTCACGAGTCAACAAGCAAAAATTTTTTTTTAATTTCTTCTAACATATCTGTTGCATTTTACTTAAAACATATTACTATAATATCAATGTCATTATTAAATTAACAAAAAATTATGCTACGTTGATTTTATATTCAAGGAATGACAATCACTGCCGTTAGTGTTTTACTTTGCGTTAATGTTCAAATTAAAAAAAAAAAGTACAAGTTGCTGCATATTTTGTTTTCTTTCATATGTTTGTTTTTACACAAACAGAAGCTACGTGTCGTGAGATCAGAAAAGTTGTAGCTTGTTGAAACTTGTTGTTTGTCAATGACGAACAAGTTCGAGCCACGCGCCGTGGAAATCATCGACTTTAGATACGTATCGGCAAATGATGGATTAATATAATTGCTGCCGAGTATATGTACATCGTTTAGTTTTCTGTGTGTGCGTAATATAATATATACATACATATATACATATATATATATATATATATATATATATATATAAGACGATATAATTATATTTTTGAAAACTCCGAGGAGATGTGTGAAGAAAAATATTGAGCTTGTCTAATAGATTTGATACAAATTAGAAATAGTTGTCGTTATAGTGAACCAAAAGCACGTGGGAAGACTATAAAATTTATATTAGCGACAAATCATTTAATAATATTTCTGAATCATTCTCTCTCGCTCTCTCATTCATTGGTTTTTTTCCTATCCAGAAAAACAAGATTTCATCTTTAAATATTTGTTATTACAATCAGAGACTTACTTAGCAAAATCTGGAACTTTTGCGGTATTTTCAAGGCCGTTGATCTTGGGAAGAAGGGCAACTATGTGGAATTGGAATCCACTACGTAAACAAGTATGAAATCTTCTTCTGTTTCGGCAAAGAGTCGCGCGGGTCCGTCTGAAATCTTTCCGAAATTGTCTGCGAAGAAAGACCATTCTTACAAATGCCAAGAAATAGCCGTACTAATATAATATAACGAGTGACCTACAAACAATGCAGCGACAACATTCCTAAAACAATACTTGTGAAAGAAAGAACGGCAGTGAGAGAGGAGTGCATTGTTATCGAAAGAATTCGCTTTGAAAGCGTTTATTTTTCGTTTGTATTAAATAAATTCGAAGAAAGAACGCATATTTTTGTGAGAAAGTCGCGAAATCCCTTTGTGAGAACTGAAAAAATTGGAAATTTCATGTGCAAAATTACGCGAACTTTCGTATTATAAATAATATAATTTGGTGAAGCATTAAGTGTAAATAACCATGTGCGCCACCGCACATACATACGCGTATTTCAGGGGTTTTAGTCGAAGCAAAATTAACAGTCACGTTTACCGTTTCCGCTAAAAAGCCTCAAACACGAATGCCGCGTATCCGTTATTGCAGTCTCTCAATTATTGAATGCGCGCGGTAAACCGAACGTTCGTTCCACTCGTTGCAACTGTCAACAATGTCTCGACAGCGACCAGGTTTAGGATATGTACTGTGTGATGTAATCTCGTTATCGGATTATCGATTGTCATGTATAAAATGGCGTTTTTTTAAACAAAAGAATTTTATCAATTATTACTATTCATAAACAGCCGCTGTCGGAATTACGATAATATTCCGAAATTGCATCCGAGAACATTTTGACGCACAAATATACAGACTGTTTTGTAAAAACAAACGGAAAAAGAAAACTATTGACACTCATCCCATGTGAATAAATGGGATATTTATATGAAAAAAGTTCGGGCCAAATTGCTGTCCTTTACTACGATTCGACCTTTAACAAGATTTGATCTTCTGTTTTCGCTATACTCGTTCTTTCAATATAGCATCACGAGTCGAGCAGCCGTGTATAATTTACTAACTCTTCTGAATGTTACATAAACTGTATGTATTATGTAGAATATGTTGTTTTAGAAATTAGAACAATATTGGATAATACATGTAATTAATGCGAGAACAATTCAGCAGCGCGAGTATAGGGTTACGTGCGCCTTGTACATATCAAACGATAAAACCCGCTTAACTCGGAAAATAAGGATAGACACACACACACACACGCTGAGAGAGAGAGAGAGAGAGAGAGAGAGAGAGAGAGAGAGAGAGAGAGAGAGAAAGAAAGAGAGAGAGAGAGAGACGGTCTGCGGGATATATGGAATCTTAAACTTGGAAAATTGCGCACACAACAACAGAAAGGAGAGACGGTTTTCATGCAGGCACGTAAATATAACGGAGCTTTTCCGGATACGCGGCGACACAAGGCACTACCTGCAGGAAGGAGGCAGGTTTATTCGGCGAACTTATAATGGCCCCGACTTCGGGACGGATTTTATCCTCGTTACGGTTACCGGCAAAAACGTATTGTTCGAAAGTGCATTAGCTCTCGAGGAACACGAACGCGATGGCGAGGATATCGGGAAGGATATCCCGGGACTCTCTCTGTTTCGCCTTTCGCCGTAAAGAGGAACGGCGCGCAGCATTTGTGTCCTCGCAGCGAGTTTAACGACATTGTTGCGCCGGAGGCGCGCCTCGCTCTCTTCGAGAACGACTCACAACGGGAACGTTAAGACACGGTGATGTCTGTGTCGCTGTTAGCGTCCATGATCGAATTTTTCATTGTGTCGATGGGACCATGATATAGTCGAAGCGCTTTGGTCCAATAGCGACGTAATTCACGTTTAATCAACGTGCGTACGTAAAAGACGGTTCTGTAGTTGCTGTATATACTGTGTTAGAAAAAAAAAAAAAACGTAAGACTACTTCGGTGCCAGTCTTTCACCTAGCTTGTAACGACGCCGAGATTTCGTATTTCACACACACATATATGTACACTGTATGGTACTTTCCGTGCGTTTTTCTTATAAAAATTCGATGTACATCTAAGCAGACCAAGAAGAAGATTGAAAGAAAACGTAGATTATAAGTGGTACTTCGCGTCGTTTCTCGAATTGAAACCTTTTTCATAAGCCTGTACATTTTCGCCGAATTACTGCAAACTGCGTTTCGGATAAATTTTATTTCACCACTTGTACGCATTTAATAAAAGACTAGAAAAAACTGGACTCGAAAGCGAACGACAAATGTGTGTTTGAGCGAAGAACAAGTCGACCAGCAAATATATTTATATCCAATATAAGTGAATTTTCACATATTTCAGCAATTGTAACAAATTTTTATAACGATGTCGTAATTAATTCTGTGTTTTTTTCTTGCTTTTGATTCTATGTTGCCGTTTAAAAAAAAAAAAAAAAAACAATTTTAATTAATATCTGAGGCGACAACCGCTAATTAGTCCTCTTTATAGTGCAGAGACTGTTTTTACACGTTTCTTTTTGCTGCTTTGTAACACGAACCAGTCATCCTCGCTCGTTAAGTTTTACTCACCACGGTCGCAACTTGGAGTACAATATCCGTTTTGCTTTTCCAACTCGACAACACGTCGGATTTTTGTGTGTCAAACAAAATCAGAAGTATGTACGTGTGTACACAAAGAACTATTCGTAATTCGATAATTTAACGACACTATGTGTTTTAAAACAGAAATGAGATAATCGAAATTATTAAATTCAAAAATTATAATTATTAATAAAATTTAGAAATTGTCATGAGAATAATGGCTCGCACAAAATGAGCTGCGCAATAACGACAGGAGAATTGAGAAGATTAACGGCCGGCAAAAGAACGTAAGTACCTTTTCTAAAACATTTGAGAAGATTAGCGCCCGCAAAAGAGCGTAAGTACTCTTTCTAAAACATTTCTCTTTAATATTCTCACGTACATGATGGCGCGCACACATAGCCACGATGTTCGATAAATCGATACATAAAGTTCAGTTCTGTGTGTGTAATTATTTCCATAATTATTATCTTCGTACAACATATAAAGTACTGAGAGGAAACTTTCCACCGGGCAATAATTTCCATCGCAAATGTAATTATTAACGCTGTCGAGCGTTATATACGGTGTGCAGTTCATTATATAGGAATTAATAAATTTAATGACAGTTCTCTCCGTCTCGCGCGCGCACCGCCAACGTGTGCATCATATCGCGTTGCGCTCTGCCAGTAGCGATGCATTAGTACAGAAGCTCTATCAGTGAAACGAACACGCATCCATTCGGAAAGTCGATAGACTCTGTTATGTGACACCGCGATCATACGTTTCCGTTTCACGAGCATTGTGTAGCGTTATATGGTTTTTTCATTTCATTCCATCCGAGGATACGATGCGCGCTTTTTTTTTACGACTGAGCATAAGTTTCAAAGACAATAAATGTACTTCAACGCATTCGATTAGCGGTTTGGAAAAATCGAATTTCGGAGAGTATCGAATAATCGTCGAATAATCGATGAGTTCGATATATCGCGTCAACAAATAATTACGTGTACATTTTTAAATTAAAAAAAAAAACAAAAAAAACAAAAAAAAAGATGAAATCAAATTAGAAATTGCGATTTATTTACTTCAACCGTGACACACGATGCGATCTTCAAGTTTCGATGAGCCAGAGCGGTAAGTTTGATTGGCGGTGCCATCATCAGTGGAACACGCACGCACGTATCTCCGGGAGGAGATTCTCGCACAAACAACGCGGCAATTTCATCAGCTGGTACTTGGTTAATACAATGGGTCAATCATCGAACGAGCTGGCATGTGTGTCGAAATTCCTGTATCTATACGCGTAACTGATGTCAGTAGTCAATATGGATGTACGCGAGTGTATCGCGTATGTGTGTCTCGGATTGCATTGTTAGAAGTAATCACGTATATCGCATTGTCATAAGTATCCGTACGAGCGAACAGACTATAATACATCAACCGGGATATGAATAGAAGCCTGTTGAAATTGTACCGCTCCAATTAGCATCTAAAGCGGCAGGCAGGTAACTCGCGCACTCTCGTTTATCCGACAACGAATTCGGTGCGTAGATGCTTTTGGCGTGGCGGCATTTCAAAGGTCTCTCACCACAGCGGGCTGTGTTCCACTTATTTCACGAGAAACTCGTTCGCGAATAACGATAAACAAACGTTTGCCGTAGAATTAGGAGCGACAACAGCAGATACTCCGGAGAGCCACGAGAGAAAAGTCGATATAAATTTACATAATGCACAATTCGCGGTTGACACACAATTACCGATTTTGACGATTTACACATCTATTTACATATTTTGAAATTTCAGCTTCGGTTATTGCAACAATACGAGCAACAATTTGTGTTGCTTGCATTCAAATTTCGTAAATCTGTCAATTATCGAAAAGCTCGGAAGTGATGCGCCAAAAAACTTTATGATGTTCCGAGAAGTGTGTCAAGAATTGAGATTAAATGAGCGGAAATATTCGTGTAAACAAGATGCACAAGTTTGCTTTTACATCCTTCTGTTTACACTTACCTTATTGCCTAAGAGAATTAACAGAAACGACGTTGTGTAACATCTTGGTGATAATCTAATAAAACTGCGAAAGCCCGCG